AGGGAAAGAAATGCAGTGCAGTGGTGGTGGGGGAGATGGGCCTGCTGGGTGCCCTCTTCACCCACCATGGCAGCCAGCCCTGTTCAGTCTGGAGGGAGCTGCAGCTGGTTACATTTCACTGAGACAGGAGGGCAGCAAAAGAGGGTGAGGAGAAGGATGAGGGTGACAAGGATGAGAGCCTCCCACATTCAGCTAGGACCTCAGTATACAATGTCCATACAGTCTCTGGGCTCTCCAAACTTGGACCTCTCTGGGCAAAACTCATTGAAGGGGGCTTGCAGAAAAACAGCGATGGTGAGGACAGGAGCAAATCCTCCCTTGGGCCTCAGCACAATGGAGGAGTCTTGACTGCCTTCCCAGCTTCTCTCAGCTGAAGGACCAGAAAACCCGTATCAGTAGAGCCCAAGGATGTTCAGGGTCCAGCGTGCACTAACACACACATGTGGGGGGATACAGCTCCCAAGGCCCTGCAGGGCAGGAGGGTGGGCTGCCTGTCTCCATCATGTGCAGCTCTGCAGGAAGCTGGCCTGGTCTCAGGCAAGTTTGTTCGATATCTGAGCAGATTAACTCTCAAGGGCCCAAAGGTTTGGTGCGGAGGGAGCCAACAGTCCCCCAGCTCAGTGGCCCCCGCCACCTTTGGCTGTGCCAGAGGTTAATCCCTCATGGATAAGGGCTGCTCCATCGCAGGAGCCCAGGTTGGCCACCCCTCCATGGCTTCCCTCCCGGTCATTCACAGCCCTCCCTGGGCAGCAGGTGGGGGCCAGGCAGCCTTTCTAACACCCCTGGCACATTCACTGCCATGCGTCAAAAGAGATAAGATGACCTTGAGGAGCCTGAGCACTGCCCACCCGATGTTCCCCTGTCCAAACCTTCAGTCCTGGGCTCACACAGAGAGGACCTCCCACACACATCCCACACGCCTGGCACCTTCACGCAGCCATGGCTTGGCCATGCATTAGGGCTGATGTTTACCAAGCGCAGGTTTGATTCCCACTTGCATCTCATTTCTGCACAGGGCTGCTTTCCTGGAACTGATGTCTGTGCCTGCTCCTTGCTAAGGTGCCCAGAAACATAAGGACTGGGATGCTCATAAATTAAAAGGCGTTTAGATGATTTCTTTCAGAAAAAAATGTAGTGGATTTTTCCACACTCTGCCCTCTGGCCCTTTCCCGGAGAGAGCTCACTATATGTGGATGCTGCTCCCCTCCCCAGTCCCCTGTGGGGTTATAAACACACTCTTCACCCTGTAGGATGGTAACAACCATCTGAAAAAGGCACAGTGTGCAGCATTGCATAGTCTTGGATTTGCTGCTTCTCCCACTGGCCTGGCAAGGCTGCAAGCCCCCTGCTAACAGGACCAGCTTACAGCTCCTATACCCCAGAGGCTCTGACTGGCCAAAGCCATGAGCCAAGATGTCAGGGATGTCAAGGGGGCCAGGACAGCCCTGTTGGTGTCCAAGGCTGGGTGAGAGCATGCTGGAGGATGCCAGCTCTTGCCCTGCCAGATGTGGCTGCCTGATCCACTGCCTGGGCAGCTGGACCACAACCCTTGACCCAGGTGGCATCACTAACCCAAACCACCTCAATAAGCCAGCCTGACCATTGGCCAGGATAAAAAGTTAATACAACAACGCCCTCTGATGGTGGAAACGATTCCATGACAGTACCATGATCGTGCTGAGTGAACAGGGCCCTGAGGCAGGTTGCTCTAGCTGGACATGGGTGATACCACACAGGGCTTCAACTTGGCCAGGCTGTTGGGCACCAGGAGTAGGTGATCCGGGGAAGACAGGGTCAGGGAGGAGGTTCCCCACTGCAGGACTATTGGGGAGAGGCTGCAGGGAAGGGTTGGTTATTTTGGCCCTTGGCACTGTCTGGCTTTGTTTACCTCGTGTCTCCCAGGGCACGAGGGTGGTGGGCTGAGAGCTCCCTTTGCCAGGTGTAGGAGCTGGGGGCTGGGGGCTGGGGGGGAACTTTGGCTGGAAAAACACCTGTGTTTCTGCTGCCAGGGCCCAGAATGTACCAGGATAGCCAGGAGATGCCTATCTCAGGGCAGGCAGTCTCTTCACTCAGGCTGAGGGATGTGTCCCCATGGCAGAGCTGGCACATGGCCGTGAGAGCTCCTGCCTTCATCTATGTGCCAGCCTACCAGCCCGAGAAGGACACTTGTGCTGATGGAGGAATTAAAGCACGACACTGAGCCCTGGTTAACAGCATATTTAGTCAGCCTGATGGATCTGTCTGGGCTTTCTGTTAATAAACAGCATCTGACCTGAACTGTCTCAGAGTTGTAAGGAATGAGGCTTCCTTTCTGCATCTGAGCTATTGGTAGCTAACAGGGCCAATTACACCTCCAGATAATGAATCGATGTGTCCTGTTCTAGCTGTCTCTTGCTGTGGGGAAGGGGATGCTCGTGCCAGGGTAGCGATGAGTTGCTGGATCATTACTTCCCCTTTCATCTTGATGAGGATGAAGATATTCTGCTTTGATGAAGGAGCATCAACATGAGACGTTTTTGATGTTGCTATTTTTTTCCCCCAACTGGAATTACTCCCCAGCTCCAGCAGGAAACTTCCTCCTCCTGGCTGAATTGCCTCTGATTTAGCCATATTTATATGCATTTTTCAAAGTAAGACTTTTATTCCCCAGCCTGAAAACCATCCCCTTCACCCATGGTTCAGTGGAGATGCTACCACAAGCCCACAGCACCCCCAGCAGCTGTGTTCCCTCCCCATCCTCCCATGTTGCCTCCCCTCATGCTGACCCCACAACAGACAGGACATAGTGTTTTTAGTGAAGATCAGCAGCTCCTCAAATGGATTTATTGTCACAGCTAAGGACATGTTCATAGACCACTGTGCTGCAGCAGGGTGGCCACATGGGCCACCCGGGGGCGCTGCCAGGGAGGTGGCAGACCCACAGACCACAGAGGTCATGGCTGGGAGCATCACCTCGTGCTGCACTACCGAACAGCGGCTGGGCTGCAAGCTGCAGCATCCACCTGCGGCAAAAAGGAATGAAACTTGAGTCCCAACAAGGGCACTGTCGTCACACATGGGCCAGGAGACTAGTGGTCTAGGATCAGTTGGGAAGCCTGGTCCCAGCCATGTCTCCAGTGCAAGGAAAGCCTCGCCCAGCTCCTCTGCCCTCTCCCACCTCACAAAGTTCAGGTCCAGCCTTTAGTTCTGTTTTGACACAGACCTACCCTGCATCCCTTTTTACCTGTCCCCCCATTCCCAGTACTTGCCCCCCATGTGCAATCAATCCCTGGTGTCCTATGTTTCCAACCCCTGCCTGCAAACCCTTGCCCCTGCTGCTCACTGCCCAGGTGCCTGCCAGGCACATGGGTCTCCCCATGCATCTATTCCTTCTTCTGCCCACACTTACTACCCTCCCTTCATCTGGAAAAGTGGCAGGTTTGTCTCAGACCCTGCAGCATCCCACCCCAGCAGCACGTCTCCAGCTGTGGGTCAAAGCAGCCCTCGGCCAGGGTCTAATAGCAGCTTACAAGGGCTAATCCAGGACACTCAACATGCCCCGATGGACTAATCCATCCTCCCTTCATTCCACAGCTACAACCCAGACCTACCTCGCTCTTCATCTCGCTCTCTGAATTATCGTCACTGTGGCACTGTGGGAAAGCACAGCAGATGATAAACCCCTGAACTCCCTTCACCTCACTCCTCTTCTGAAAGTGAGCCAGGACATGACAAATCTGCTCACACGCCAATATGCACCTACACACACCACCCCCATGCACACATACTCCGTGAGTGTGTGCATGTACCCCCGTGAGTGAGTGACCATGTACACTGGCATCACTGCCTGCTCTCGGCCAGTTTGTCTCCAAGAGCCCCCAGTCCCAATCTGACCCTCACTCTGGACAATTCCCAAGAGACTCGTGTCCTCAGTGAAACAACAAGCCACCCTCAGCCTCCTTGCTGACTTCACTGTGCTGCTTGCATGGCTGCACTTACAGCCTTGCCTGCAGGGCAGCATGGCCAGGGCTGGCTGGGTCATTGCTCACCACACTGGCTGGGAGCCCTGACGCCAGCTGTTGCAAAGCCAAACACTGACCCCACAACATGCTGAACAGCCCTGTGGCTTCAGCAGGGACTAAGGGTGCTGGGCACCCGCCGGATCGCAGCCCTGCATGCGCAGGAAGTAGGGCAGAATGTGTCTCGGGGCAACTGTGTGCTGGGAAGCCACAGCAGGAGAAGTAACAAAAATAACACATGTCTAATGACACCGTGACTTGAGAAACATTGGTGTAGTGAGGGCTGGGGGGGTGGGCATGCAGCCTCCTGCATCCTCAGGTGGGTCTGCAGGGCCCAAAAGAGGTGTCTGACGGGTAAGTAAAGCAAACAGGGCACTTCCGCACAGGATTGGCCTGGGTGCTCTGCTGAAGCAGGGAAATATGAGCTGGAAAGTCTGGGCAGGACCCCAAGACATAAATCAGAGCAACCTGGCTGTGGGTGGAGCGGACGAGTCACCTAGCCAAGCCACGGCTCTTTGCCATTAATAGTTCTGTCCCGGGGACATTTAATAAGGCAGCTGCAATGCCCAGCTTAAGGTGATGGTATTGGGGAAACACTGAAAAGCTGTGGGATGCCTCCAGGAGGGAACCTATTTGGGGGTCTCTGCGTGGTACTTCCTCCTTCCAAACACTGAGGATGGCCTGGTGGAGCCAGGCACAAAACCTTTCCAGCAGCCCTGAGCCCATCACCACAGTGTCAGGGCTGCAGTGAAGGTGCGCAGGGTACCAGAAGGGAGTTTGTCCTGGAAACACAGACATTTTGCAGCAAAGGGGTCAATGCATCCTGACTCACTGGGGAAGGATATGGGAAGCAGAGGGGACAGGAAGGAGGAATTAACCTCACATGGTCAGCCCAGGATGCTGGCAGCTGTTCAAGAGAGGTTGGGGGAGAGGGATACGACCCAGTCCAGGTTTGGCAGATACAGTTTGTGATTACAAGAGAAACCCATCTACAAACAGGTTTAGATGTTCACACAACTGATGGATGTGGTGCTTTATTGATCGTGCTGGGGGGTAGTAAGGGCTTGGGACCTTTCCTCGGGGGTCTTTCAGCTGTCTTGGCATTACACTGAAGGACAGTGAGGGACACAGCACCCACAGGCTGCTGGAGTGGACAGGACCTCTGAAATGAAAGAGCCCAGCAGGATCTTCCCCAGGTGCCATGCACACCAGCACTGGCCAGGCAAGGGACACCAGCCTCCTGTGTCATCCAGCCCCTCTGATCAGCTCTGGACGTTCACCTTGCCATCCAGGACAAGGTGCTGGGACTATTCCTCTTAAGCCAGCTGTCCTGGCCACAGAGCAGGCACCTCTTGGCTTTGGGGTAGTTTTGGCACAGCCCCCACATGCATGGCTTGCCCGTGACTTGGGGCACAGCAGAGTCCTGGTGCATGCGGTGAAGAGCAGATGACTGTCCTGGCCTCCACCAGCATCTCTGGTCCTTTAGCTCTGTAATTTCTGGTTTCCTCCCTACTTTTGGCCATAAATGAGAGGAAGGGGGTTTCAGGAGCAAGGCATGCTGCAAGACCATAAACCCAAGAAATCCAAAGCTCCAGCTCTACAGGGTTCCCCCGTGCCCTGAGACTTCTCCATCACCTGAACTCTCAAAATAAAACAGGGATAAATCATGCCACTGCAAAAGGAAGAACAGGGAAAGGCAGGCAGGGAGACTCCTGAACCTGCTCCTTAGTTTCCCCAGCCCGTCTTACCTTTCACATCAAGTTTGCAGTCTACTGAGGCTTCCCCTAAGGGGTTCACAGCTTTGCAGGTGTAGATGCCCCCATCAAAAGGGCTAGGCTTGCGAATTTCCAGGGAGCAGACACCGTGCTCAGTCATTGCTATGTACTTGGGGTCTTCCCGTATTTCCATCTGATTTTTCATCCAGATGATTTTGGGCTGGAAGGCAGCAGGGTTTTTCTTTCATTTTGAAGCAGGCAGAGAAACAAGAAATCTAACCAAAACACAGCCACCTCCCTGTGCCATTCCTTGCCTTGTCCAGGCCCTGCCTGAAGCTGGTGGCCACAGTAGGATCTACAGTGAGGAACAATGTGAAGAGCCAAATCTTCCAGCCCTGAGCTCTAACCACTGCCCCACACATCTTCCCCAGTGCAGGAGGAAACAGGACATGGCTAGAAGTGAAACCAGTCTCTCACTTCCACTGCACAAACACCACCAGACTTGCCCTGGTTTGTATCAGAGGGCAGCTGCACTTCCTTAACCCCAATCAAGCCCTAACCCAACACAAGCAGCCATCACCCAGCATCTCCAGCCACTCTGCAAAACCTAGCCAGTGGTTCCCCACGTGCACAGACGATGTCATTCAGGCAGGAGAGATCCAGTTACTGACCTGGGGGAAGCCTCGGACAGAGCAGAAGAGGTGTGTGCTGTAGCCCCTGGTGGTGGTTCGATCTGTCAGGGGCTGGGTGAACTTTGGAGGCTCCATCATGTCTCGCTGGGGGATCTTCTCAGGCTGGTAAACAGTTTCTAGGAAATTAGGGCAACAGCTGGCTGCAGCAGAGCTGGGTCTCCTGGGCTGATCAGCTGCATGATCAGGGGAACTCAGCCCAGGGTGCCCCAAAATACTTCTGCTCCCTCACAGAACAAGCCAAACAGCACCTAGCCTGACCCCAGAACCTCATCTTCAGCTCTCAACAACTCCGTCTATAAATACATTCTCATCCAGAGATGCCACATTAGCGCCTGGTGGGGACAGTGCAGGGTCTTGGCAGGGGAAGGATGCCCATCTCTAAACCAACTGCGTGATGCACGCTCTGTGCAGCAGGTGACATCCAGACTGGACAGCTCTCAATATCATACTCCACTTGCAAAATATAGTGGACAGAAATAGGAGCTGGATGCAGGCTCTTCAGGGGGGCTAAGATCTCCAACTCACTGCATGTTACCGGGTAGCAGGACGGAAATAGATGGGGGCTGAGCAGGGCTCAGGGATGGTGGATTTGAGCCCTGGTTCTGAGATGGAACTTTGCAACGGTCTCTTCCTCCACTTGCCTTGAGTGGTGGGGCAAAGCTGGGGCTGTTCCTCACTCCTCCTTACTCCTGCTTCAACCTCACTCTGGAGAGAGGGAGGAAGGTGCTCTAGCTCTGAATCCTTGCCTCCTACCCCAGTCTTGGGGCATCTCCCCCTCCCAGGGCAGCTCCACACTGTGCCCCCCTCAACTCCCATCCAGTGGAAAGCAAACCTGCTGCCAGGGACCCCATGACCCATTTGGGTCATGCAAGTGAAGCTCCTGCAAGTGGAGTTGACCGGTGCTTGGGCTGGGGGCCAGGAGTTTCACATCTTGATCCCTCCCACAAGTCTGGGCATGGCACCAGCCTTCCCCAAATATGAAAAGAGGTGCAGAGGGACAACAGGAGACTTCTGGACCTCTGCTCCAGGGATGCACTGCCTCATTCCCACAGGGCTCATCCTGGGGACCAGCACGGCAGCATCACTGCTGACAACACCAAGGGCCCTGGAAGGCCCTAACCAGCCCAAAGAGGGACAGGATTGCTCCCATAACCCCTCCAGAGTCAGACCCCTATCCTCACTTGTCTTTTTGATGTGGGCTGTGCTGGAGGTGACGGCTGCTTTCTCACTCAGCCCACTGGCGTTCTCTGCAAACACCCGGAAGGAATAGGTATTGCCCATGATGAGGTCGGAGATGGTGCAGCTGGTGCGGGTGCAGCGCTCCAGCACCGTGAACCATTTCTGGGAGGAAAGGGAGAGCAGTAAGGAAGGCCGGGCTGCTCAAAGAAATAAAAAGATGGTGGGGGAGACAACAGCAGCTCATGCCTCCCCTTCCCACTGCAAAGCCCATCAGGGCACTGCCAGGTGCTGTGGCTCCCAGGAGTACCCAGACTCACCCCGCTCTTCTTGTCTGACTTCTGCACCAGGTAGCCTTTGATCTCGGAGTTCCCGTTGTCTGCCGGGGGGGTCCACTCCAGGGCCACATTAAAGCCCCATACATCCACCAGCTTCAGGTTCTGGGGGGGGCCTGGTGGCTCTGCAATTGCAAACCCTCACAATGTGGCATCCTAATTTGCTTCCCTCAAATTCTGCACCTTGACCATCCCCTCCACCCTGCTTCTACTCTCTTCTTGTCCTATTGCAGCACGCAAGTGACAAGAAGCTGAGTTCGGAACAAGGACGTGCACTAGCAGACCCTGGATACCCAAACAGAGCAAATCAGCACCAGAGTCCTCCATACACTGGAAGAGCAACCCCACAGTCCCCTGCCTTATTGCTGGCCCTGTTCCTTTCCACTCAGGACAGGAGCTGCCCCCAGAAATGAGTCCCCAGGGCATCTCACTGTAAGCAAACCGGAGTGACCCTCCAGGGCCCCATCCTCAGTCTTACCAATCACTTGGATGTCCATGGTGGCTTTGTCCTCTGCTCCATTTATCCGGATGGTGAGGTGGTACTTGCCAGAGTCACTGCGCTGCGCCTCACGGATGAAAAAGATTGTGTCCTTCTCCCCATTGCGGATATTGATGCGCTTGGTGTCTAGGGACTGGCCACCCTTGGTCCAGATCACTTGGGGCTGTGGTTTTCCCTGGAACAAGCCAAGGCAGGCAAGTTAGGAGCTGCTCGAGAGCATGGTCCCAATTAGTCCTGCTGGGAAGGAAAGGTCAACAGAGCCACCCAACCTTGTCCAGACAGCTGTGGCATGGTAGAGCCTTTCCCATCCCATGGTCCCCAGGGAAGAAACTACAGCCGATCTCTGCCAGCCCCATTTCCAGGAAGCTGTCAGGCTCCAGGGTTGATGCTGCTTTTGCACTGATCCTCGAAGCTGCCCCAGAGCAAGTCCAGCCCTGTCTGCCCAGGGCTTTGCAGACAAACCTGAGCTCACATTGCCCAGGCTCTGAGCCCAGACTCAAGCCTGGCAGTAGGGGCTTGTTTTCTGTGTCCAGGGCTGATTTATGCCTTCAGCATGGCCAACGCTGAAGCTGCTAACCAGACATGCTCCCAGCTGCTAACCAGATACGACGTGGACACGTCCCTCACTGTAGGGGTAGCTTTTTGCTTCTCGCTTCCCCCTGCTCTACACCTGGATATTTCAGAGTTGGAGCTGTTCAACCCCAGATACTGTGGTTGAAACTCTTTGGGGCTTCTCCAGAGAACGTGCAATAAATCAGACAAGCAGACGGACTCCAGTTTGACCCACCAGCACCAACCTCTCCCTCCCCATTATTCAGAAGCTGGGGCCCTGCTCCAAAAAACAGCTGCTCTCCCCAAGCTGAGCCCAACCATCAGACTGCAGAGTCCGGCAGCATGTGGCCAGACCCCTACCAGGCTGAGCCAGAGGCATATGAGCTGAGCGGGGCTCTTCAGCTGAGTCTGCAGCAATATTTAGCCCATGTCTTAGTCCTTTCGGGGTTGTCCCATTGCCAACACCATCAATATTGACCCTGTGTGAGTGGAGATGGGCACTGGGCAGGAACAGGAGAGGAGTTCACACCTTGGCTCCTGCACAGCTGCTCCCCTCCTAGTTCATATGAGATAGAGGGATAGGAGAAGCCAGACCACAGCTGGTCCCAGGCACCTTATGCTATCTAGAAAAATCACTGCAAAAATCAACCTGCAGTGAAACAGTCTGAGGGATTAAATTGCAACAGAAGGTGACCACCTCTCCTGAGGCACAAGGAGGCGCACATGCTCTCCTGTGTCCACCAACAGCCATGAGGGAGGATTCAGAGGCCACCCTGCTTAATGGAGGGGCCCAGATGATGTGGTCTGCGTCCCTGCCTTGCTTTCCCCATGAGATACATAGGGAGAGTAAACCCCCTCATCCCAGGGTCACTTACAGAGCCAAGTGTGGAGGAGCTGGGACTTGTCACCATGGGAATCAAAGGCAAAACAGAGGGTGGAAGAGGCCAGCCCTTGCTCCCACCTCAGGCCATCACTGGGCAGTGTGGTGCCAGCAGCCTCCAGACCACTCCTCCTGGCTCACTCAGCCCAGGGATACACAGTGGGCAAGTGGCCCCTTCTGCTCTCACAGCCTCCATGTAGGCACGGTCCCCTCCATCCTTCCCCTGCAGCAGGCACAAAATGCTCACCCAAGCACACACCTCTAGGGGAACCATCGCCCACCTACCTGGAAAGGGATCATCAGGTTCACAGCTTCCCCAACACGCCTGATGTAAGTCTGCCGCAGGTGACGGGGCACACGGATCTTTGGGAGCTCTGGGGGAACAGAAGGACATCATGGGGCCACTGTCATCATGCAGCTCTAGGAAATCTCTTGCAGCCTGAGAGATCCCACACAGACTGACCCCCCACACACACACTCCCACTTGGCCATCAGGACATCCAGCCCAGAAACGTAGGCACCTCTTCCCTCTTGTCTCCTCAACTGTGCTTCCCTGCGGGGCCCTCCCAGCTCACCCCTTTGCCACAACCCCAAAATTATGTCCCAATTATTGTCCTTAGCCATTGGGATCAACCAAATGACACCACCTCAAGGGACCCCTCACTCCTTTTGTTATCACCAGTCTGTGGTGATAACCCACGTGGGCCTAACCAGAAGAGCCATCGCAGCAGAGCTACCACAGCACAGCCCTCAAGGTACTGAAATCTCCCATATTTCCCCCCAGCTTGAAAAGTAGATTTTCTAAGACACAACCCTATTTCCATCAAGGACAAGGCTCACCAGGCCTCCTCCTTAGCTGTGTGGCCAGGGTAGCCGAGAGGCTGAGGTAGTATGCAATTCCTTGGTGCGGAGCTGTAATAGCCCCAGGCTGGAAAATGAGGGCTAACGTCCCCAAGGGAACATAATAAAGATAAGCAAAAACACCACTGGAGAATGCTGATGGAGCTTGTCTCTCCTTCCCAGGGTGAAAATAGCAGCCGTGTAACCCTACCAGCTCTGTGCTGCTTAGCGGTCCTTCTGGGGAGGCATCAGGTTTACGTGAGCCCCTCATAAAAGAACTGTGTGTCTCTGCCCGGATTAAACGTGCCGGAGCTTAGCTCCAGGGAGGGCTGGCATGGGGATGGGGGTAGGCGACAGCCAGAATTAAACCAGAAGTGAGTGATGCCTAAACAGCTGTGAGTAAAATGCATGCGGTGGGCCGAGGAGGGCAGGGAGATGCCCAGCGGTCCCAGATGGCCCCGCCAACAGCTGAGACGGTCTCTCCTCCACGCACCCTGCTATTCGCTCCAGGAATCCATACGTTGATGCGGACACTTGGTCTTATCAGTCTGAGCGGAGCAGAGAAACCTGACCTCCGAGGAGGAATGTTAATTCATGGGTGTTTTCCCCAGCTCCTGCACACACGTGCCTTGCTTAGCTGGAGAGGGCTGGTGGAGGTCAGTGTCCCAGGTGAAGCTTTGCTATATATTGTAGCTATTTAAAATCCCTGCTGCTCCCCTTATAAAAGTATAAATGATCTGTTGGGAGGTATAAAATGTGTTCCTTGATAAAATGTGAAAACCAGAAGGTTACAGATGGGGCGGAGAGGCACGGACTTGTGTGCCTAACGCACATCAGCACCAGTGGGGTGGCTCCAGGGCGCTAGTGAGGCCTTGAGGGGTAATTTGTTTCTCAGCAAACCCAGATAGTACGTGCAGGGAAGTATTTCAAATGAAACACAAAACGAGGCAAGCGCCGTTTGCTGATTAAGAATTTCAGTTAGCAAAAGAGTAAAACAAACAAACAAACAAAACTCAAAAAAGAATAAAAAACCACAACCACTTAGTGTGGAACAAGAGCAAATTTTGCATGGGTCTTTCAGGTCCGTGATTTTACACCTCTCAGCCAATGCAAACAGCTGGGACTAACCTCAGGCAGCACGGAAGGGTAGTGCCACCTAGCAGGTGATCCGTGGGTCTAGAAGTGGGAGACCTGAGCTGTGCTTTTGGCATCTCACCTCATGCCTCAGTTTCCCCAGCCCCATGATGAAAATAACAATGCCTTTTGAGACCTGGGAGGTGAACATGGCTAAGAGACAGATTAGCTGCCAGACTGAACTTGCTTCCATTGATATTTCTGCTTAAATCACCAAACGGTTCAGCCTTGCTAGGCAGAGCAGGAGTTTGGACAAGGCGGCAGACATACTATCTACTGAGTGTCGTTCATCTCTTCTGAGCAGAGTCCAAGGACGGACCCTGCAGAACCTCTTTCCAGGCACTGGTAGCTTTCTCCAACTCCTTTTCTATCAAAGGTTGATAGCTCCCAGAATAATTTTTAATATTATTACTATTTGTAAGTAGCTGAGAAATTTGCTGCATTCTTTGAGTAGTAGGAAAACTTGTACATTAATAATTCCTCAGAACAGGAAAATACATCTATACCTGCCCTTGAATAAATGAAAACCAGCCTTGCAATCACACATCAGCCTCAGCACATTCACAGCACCCCAGGAGGAATGCAAGTCTTGCTAAGCATGGGAGCAAGTTATTTATTAGCGAGTTTGGCGTGATTAAAGTTCCCATGCTCTAGACAATTAACTCGACTTTCCTCAGCTACATAAACAAGGTTGCCTCTGGCCCAACCACCCGACATGTATATAATTGCGTGTTAAAGATGTAAGCATGCCCAAGAAGAGGGCAGGAGATTTGCTGACCATGCAACCATTTCTGAGTTCTTGCAGTGAAATGGGAAAACATGGGTCTGCTCTCTCAGACCACAGGTCTAAGAGCATTTTGGGTGCAACCCTTCGCTGCTAAAGCCTCACCATCCAGATAGGTGCATAGTCTTGAGATCAGGAAGCTGCTCCATCCCAGTCCAAGGGACTTGGACCCAGTTATTGAGAGTAATGTTGAAGTCGAAGGCTGGATTGTCACATGCAAATGGATAGAGTGGAGGGGGGTTCAAGCTGCGCAACCTGGATCGTGCACAGCAGGAGCACTACTTACGGAGGATCTCTCTGATGAGGACTGGCTGCTCCAATGTGGCTGGGACGCTAGCTCCGCTGGCATTCACTGCCTTCACACGGACATGGATCTTCTCTCCAGAGCTAAGGTTCTGGATTGTGTACCGCATGGAAAGAAAAGGCTCCTGGTTTGCAGCGATCCAGTCTGTACCTAGAACAAACACAAAAGAGCACTTCAAGCACAACATGGCTGGTCACGCATACACACCATATGGCTGGATCAAGTCACAGGAGGTGAAATCCAGAACCACTTCCTTGCAAGGTCAGGTGATTCAAGGCACCAGCAGAAAAAGGCATTTTAGAAGTGAGGCTGGCCACCAGGGATTGGATGCAATTCCACATCGTCCTGGAGGCCAGGCACCCAGCCCCGCCAACTGACAGTTGCTAAACTTTTCTCCATTAAAATATTCATGAACTACTTCTGAGTAGCATGCTGTTTGCAAGTGAAAAAAATGGATTAAACCAACAAACAGGTCTCAGAGCCACCATGAGCTGCCAGCAAGACTGTACTCCCTAGCAAACAAAACCAGAGCTGGTCTCTCCATCCCACCACCCAGGCTGTAAAAGGGATTTGCAAGGGTCAGACCAGCAGGTCTGTAGAACAAGAATGGCTCTTGCGGTCTCTAATGACCATCCAAATGCATTTCTGGAGTTAGCAAAGGTCGTCTTATCACCTGGCCAAGCCGATCTGCTCCTCCTGCTGTCCTAGGCTAGTTGGGGTTCACCATGCTCCCCAGTTCCCAAACAGCTTCCCTTCCTTGGAAGGGGAAGACTCAAACTCACAGCCAAGGTGCAGGAGCTCTCTCACATCAGTCAACAAAGTCTCGCAACCTCTGCTGAGCCTTTTAAGAGGTTTCTCAGCTAAAAAATGGACAATGCAGTCACGAAAGGCCTAGATGACCCACGTAGGCAACTAGAGCAACCCATATGTGTTAGGGTTTGCTAAGCCACTATCCACACCTTCAGACTGAAGGTTTTCCTGTCAAATGTCAACAAAGTAGCCAAGTCCCACCAGCTCTTCTGTCCCTTCCCCACCTGCATTACTCAAACCAAGGAAACCAACTGTCCCCTCAAACACACCTCACCCTATTTTATCCAACCAGGGCTAGATTTGCAGCAGCCTAAATTCAGCAGCTGTGGAGCCTGTGTCATCATCATTGAATGACTAGTGCTCTCTTGTCGCCCAGCCAAAACCAAAGCAAGCTAGGAGAGCACCCAAAACTGTGACCTTTGGGTGGATGCCAGCCAGCTCCCTTAAAGGAATGGCTGTATTTTACCTTTTCCCATGCAATGGCCTCCTCACACATCAAGTCCAGATGTGGCTACCTCCCAAGGCCACCAGCCCCGTGGTGAAAGCCTCCTATGGCCAAACAGGTGTTGATCATGCCTTCTACAAGCAAACAGCTAAGGGTCATGGCTTGTGTTCCCAAGACTCACCAACCACCTGGGTCTCTCCAGCTGCTCCAGCCTCACCCAAAACCCACACACTCAGCCCCCAAGCCCTAGCCTCACCTTGCAGATCTCCCCACTGCAACCACGCAAGATGGGTCTCTCTCACCCCAAAGCCAAGCTGGGCTTCACAAGAGTACTCAAAAAACAAAGTCTCATTCACCTACCTCGTTCCACCAACAAGCAACGCAACCGAACAACCACAGATAATTACTGCCACCCACCAGCTCACCTCCATCCTCTAGCAGCCCACAGCCCTTCTCCTTCCAGGTATCTTGAGCCCCCATCTCCACAGTGCAGGGCTCACCTGCTACTTCTGCCTGCTAGTTGCTCTTGTATTGCATAGCAGGACCTATTCCTCCCTCGTCCTCCCACCTTATCCCAGTCCTCTCTGTGTTTCTCTTTGGGCAAACATGGGAGAATTGCATCTTCTTCCTCCTGAGGTCTTGAATCACCACCCCAACCCCAGGTCTATGGGCAGCTGGAGTTTATCAGAGACTCTCTCATGCGGGCATGCTGGTCTCTTCCCCCACCCTCTCTACTGGACACATCAGGGACGTTGAACCCTCGCAGTCCAGCCCAGTGCTAAAGGAAGCACTGTGCTCTTCATAGCTGATGAAAAGATGCTCTCCTTCATGGAAAAGAAATGACCACGTGAAATTAACTTGTCTGGGCAAGGAAAGGGAAATCATGCCCAGGAAATGCACTATGGGATTCTGCCCAGCTCTGTCCTGGGGTAAACTGCCCTCATGGGGCAGTCCCGTGTCCTCCACAGTAACACACCAGCTCTTCATGCTTACAAGGCAGGAAAGCCCAAGCCTACTTCCATCTTTGCAGAACTCCACCACGTATCCATCCAGACCCAAGCAGCTTGTCTGCTCCGGGGCTTTCCAGGTCAGCGTAACCGAATTTTCACTCACTTCTTCCACGGCCAAGGACAAGGGGGAGCTGGGTGGCTCTGTAATAAATTGACAGCAGTGAGGGCAGGTTCCCAGGGTGTTAGGGCTGTCAGAGCACAATCACACAACCTCCAGGCTGGTCTTCAGTACTCTGCAGGCCCCTGTTCCCCCTTTCTGCCTGACCCCCAACCCTATCCCACTCCAAATATACCTGAGCCAACTTCATCCTGGCATCCTTTTCCTCCACAATAGCACCCCCCACCTCCCTCCCTACACCCTGTGCCCCCCTATGTACGCACTCCTAGCCTTGAAGACTCCCAGAATCTTGGTTTCTATCCCCCTCCTCACCTGCTTTAGGCTTCTTAGGTTCGGGTTCAGTGGCTGGGGCTTGGGGTTCAGCTGGGGGAGCCAAGGAGCCTTCTTCGGGTGCTGGAGTTGCTTCTGCTGTTGGGCTAGAAGCTGGTTTATCAGCAGGGGCCGTGGGCTGTTCCGTGGCAGGAGGCTGCTCAGGGGCCAGGGGCTGTTCCACTGCTGAGGCTGGTGCTGGTTCTTCCTTCGGGGCTGCTGGAGCTGGCTCTGCAGCTGGAGCTGTGTTTTTGCCAGTCATTGCTGCAAAGCCTGGGGGCTGCAGAAGGAGGTATTTCTGCTCTCAGATCTCTGGGTTGGGGTCCCTGCTCCAGACCAATGATCTCTCCTCTGGACTTGGGATCTTGACTCCGAATCTGGGGTCCTCACTCTGGACCAGGCGTCTCTTTTCTGCGTCTAGAATCTCTGCTCTGGACTGACGGTCTCTGCTCCGGGATGACTGTGCTGGGAGTGGGGGGACCAGATCACTGAGCCAGGACAGGAGTTGGGAGATTTTTATAGGCTTCGGCTGGCACTTGTCACCTCCCTGCAAACCAATCTGCCTGCGCAGGCGGGGGCCGCCAGGAATAGCCACCCAGGACCCGCACATTCAGCAGCACACTCCTACCCCCACCCCTGGGGACTGAGCATATGGCCCTGCCCCCCTGCCCGCACGGGACCAGGCAGCCCAGGGCCAGGTTACCTTTCTCTGGGGACATGGCTCACAGCTCCTGTCCCCAGAGCTGACACTCCTCTGAAATCCTCTAGCTAAGGGCTTCCTGACCACATCCCCTCCCTGCTGCCACCCCAGCCACCCCAAACCCCTCCTTGTCCTCTATGACCTCTCCATTGACCCCAGATCTCTCTACCCTCTCCATGCCCTCCCCCTACCCCTAGGTCCTCCCCATTAATCCTGTATTGACCCTCAATCCCACCTGCCCCCCCAAGTCCTCTCCTAGCCCCTACCGCAACCTCAGATCCCTGTGCCTCCCACGTCCTCTCCTGGCCTCTATCTCAGCCCCATACCCACAGAATTCCAGCAGCTCTGGGTTTTCAAGGGACTTCTAGAGATCACCTAATTCAACCCCCTTACTTGAAGCAGGATCTGCTAGAGCAGGTTGCTTAGGACCTTGTCCAGTCATCTGCCTCCCAGGTCCTCCCCTAGATCCTACCTGAACCCCAGGCCTCCCAGGTCCTCTCTAACTACTATCTCAACCCCAGACCCACCTATCCTCCGTGTCCTCCCCATAGACCCTTGACCCTGATGCAATGGTTTGTCCCTCAGCAGTCCTTTCCAGTCTTCAACACAGACCCCTCCCAGACACCCACTGCACATGTACACCAGCTCTGCTGACCCCCGTTGCTGAAGAAGATTAGTCATGGGCCAGCCCTGCTCCATATCCTCCAGCCCTGGCCCTGCACACGCAAAGCAGGAACAGCTGCCTGCCCATGGGGTCAGGTCACCTCAGAACTCATGTCTAGCCACCCTTCTGCCAGCCCCCAAAATCAGATTCACCCCAAAGTCCCAGAGAAGCTGCATCAGCCTTACTGGATATAACCCTCCTCACCCCCACCTGTCCATGCTCCCTCACTTGCCATGCCGTGAATGGGATACTACTAAAAATGTCTCTGTAACCTATGGTCTAATTCCTTAACCTTCCCCAAATTCAGGTTGACAGTGTTTTCTCCTGTTCCCCAGCTACGTGCCTGCTTCCAGAGATGCTGCTATGGAGGAGCAAAACAAGCGAGCTCTCCTGGGCTTTGCTCCAAGGGCTCATTGCTTTGTGGTCCCCAGAAAACACCTCCAAACAGGGCATCAAGGTCAAGTAATAGCTCTGAGACAGTCAGAGTATGAAGCTACATGCTCCAAGAGGGCCAGAGGATTGAGCTTTGCTAACAAGAGAGGTGGTTTTCTGGATGGGGGGGAGCTGTAGCAACCCAAGGAGGGGAGGAAGAAAAGAAAAAGCAAAATTCCATGGCCAGGTTAGTGTTAAATGGGATGTCAATATCCTAAGGAGAGGCATAGTGCTCTAAGAGACACATCCCAGGTAGAGGACCCCTGCATTGGGAATGGACCTGGTGGGAAGAAGGGATGGGGAGAGGAGACCAGGGCAGCTCTGCAGATTATTTGGCTCAGAAGTCTGACACTTGGGTGCTGAACTCAGCGAGATAAAGGAACTGCCTGGAACCCCAGATTCAGCTCCTGGCTGTGAAGACAGGGATAGGCAAGTGCTGGTGGTTGCACAGAGGCATGGAGACACTGCCCTGAGGACCTCTGTACCTGATGCTCTACACAGATGTCAGACAGTGGGAGAGAAGCAGGGGGATGCAAAGAGGGCAATTGCCATTCCCAAGGAGCAGCATAAAGGAGGCCTGCACTTTCTGCTAGTCCTGCTTTCCCTGTAATCTGAGACAGACGTTCATGTAGCCACTGGCCTCACAAGTCACAGGGAGATCAAGTAACGTGCATGCATGCCCTCCCACTGCCCCGATTGCCCCTCAAAGTCCGATCATGGCCAGGAGGCTGCAGCCTGGAAGCACTACCCTCCCAGTCCACAGACAGATGTTGCCTCCCTCAATTATTTCAGTGAACATATCTGGCAGCATACAAAGCCAGAACACCCAAAGAAGGTATCAGTATCTCAGGAGAGGGCACATTTCCTTCAAAACCATGTAATAACCCAAGTGTTCTTTAATTACTTTTAATTACTTTCACCAGCAGAGAGGAATATGACTAACAAAGTCTCCCCCTTCCTGCAATATTTTTGGGGTGCCAGAGGGCTAAGTTCCCTGAGGCAGGAGGGGGGAAGTGGGGTTCCCATGACTTTTGCTGTCTGCAGGGAACTGGGCAACTCTGGCCACGGATGGGTGACAGCAGTTCTTCTCTGGCCTCTGGAGCAGCTTGAAGCAGCACAAATTTGCCAAGTGGGTCATGATCCAGAAAGTTTTCTGCAGCTGCTCCAGCAAAAGAGAAAGCAGTTCCCACTCCCCAACGTAAGAGCAATGTAGGGCTAGAAGAGACCATTCATCTGTCCTCCTCCATCGAAGCACCTCTCTGAGCCAGCTTTGGCTCCCTGGAGGGTCTGGAACCTGGAGGAGAGGGATAGGGAAACTCTGGTTTCTCCATGCCTCGAACCACAGGGATTTCATCCTGTCTTGGGTGATCTTGGCATCTCCTTGATCTGGAGGGAGGTGGACCGAGACCTGCCAAAACCTCCGTCCAGAGGAAGTGTTGGTCATAATACTGCCCGTACATTATCAAACAACTGACATCTCTGTGAGGACGTCAGGTGATGAAGGCGGTGTTTCTCACGGGAGGCTTCAACATTCACTTCACCCATCACTTCTTGATGGCTTTTCCCATCATCTCTCATGTGGTCATCTTGACTCCCACAGCACCATAAACTCTGTTAGAAGTTTTTCCTGCATTTTTTCAAAAGTGGTCATGCAGTCTAACCTAAGCTGAAGTGCTTTGTAAAAGTATGTTTCCTTTGATTTCATGCAAGAAAAGCAATTTAAAGACCTCAGAAGGAAATCAATACTGAAACTCCAGCTCATAAGGAAATAAGCACTCAAATGCCTCTCCCATGTCAATTTGGGCGAGTGTGTTGAAAATTAAACACTTCCCCTGGAAAATAACACCAATGCAATTATTACACTTGAAGTTTTTGATTTGAACAAAATTCAGGTTTTCAACTGTATCGATGACGTTTAGGTGCCTTTTTCCCTGTTGACTCACAAGATGACTCATAGGTTAAGAGCAAGCAAATCAACATGGTTTATCATCAAGACTTATCTGGGCCAGGTTACTGTAGTATATTGGCATCTTATTTATTCACACGTTGCCAATGAGACCGCCATGCACGAATAAACTCAAACACAGAAACACTACGCTCTCTGCCGGAGATTGCAACAGGCATCCATGGCAGGTCACCCAAATCTGATGTCAAACCATTTCACTGGGAGACCAGTCGTGGAAGCGGGAGGTTTGGTTATCTAGCGGGGACAGACATGCTCATGGGGTGAGACACTCGATCTAGACAGGGAGGGAAGGATTGCTCCCGCGGAGTCACTTCAGCAACGACAGATGAGAGCAGGCTGTCTCAGTTAAAGCCCCTCGATCAAGGCAAGCTAAAAATAGTCTGATGAAGGAAACAAAAGGAAGTGCCCCCTGGTGCAATTCCTCTGATGCTTGACACGATAACAAATGAGCAGGACTAAGAATACATCCAGTGGGCTGCACTGGCTGTTCACGCAGGCAGCTGAGGGGCTGAACATTAAAATACTGCTCGGGACGTCTGGTCCTCTCGGGTCTCTTCTGACACTAGATTTACCAAACGGCTTTGGACAAATACCTGAAACACTTTGTGCTTCCATTCATCCTGCTATCCTACCTATCAGGAACAGACTGTAATAAAACAATATTTCACTTGAAAATTTCTGGTTGATTTTAGTGATCATTTAAATACCACCACATTTTGCCTGATTCTAGCTGAAATACTGGGTATTCACTTTTTCAGTGAGAAGTAAGAGATCTCTGCATGGGAAGCAGGTACTTTTCATAAATTGGTCTCAAGCAACCTTTCTGGCCCGTTCCAATACTGATCCATTGCCTTATTTACTTTCCAAGTAAGCTACATGTGCAAATAACGAGTGTCATTTCTTCCTTAAATAATCAGATCCTCCGCATTCCATCATATTTCAAACCCAAATGAAAAAAAGCAGAAGGGGGGAAAAAAAAAAGAAAGAAAAAGGCAGCATGGTCATTCTTCAGCTGGGCTTATTGAAAGGACCTCCTTGTAAAGCTGTAAGTATGCCTACACCCCAAAATAAGCAGGTTTCCCTTTATCCAGACTTGCCAAGTTGGAAAATCACAAAGCCGGGAACCTGCTGGGGGAAAGCCCAGACATGGCCATTCCCGACAGCTGATGTGTTGGTGCAGGAAGAGGGATGATGACTCTTGACAGCTGGGCCAAATCCTGGAGGCTTCAAAGATTAGGACCAGTGCCTAGCCAGTGCTCCAGGATTAGATAGGAGGTGGTGAGGCCTTTCCACTTGTATACCGTAAAACAAAGCAAAGACACCAAAGGCCCAGAATAAATGAAGGGCCTTTGTCCTCCTAGTAGGAAAGGCTCCTGGAAGCCATAGCATCCTCCTCACTTCTCTCTTATCCCCTTCTCCGTGAACATCACTGAAGAGCCTGGATGGGCCCTCTGCACCCTGGGAAGACTGTAAAAGCAGCAGTACAGCTACCATGTGCTGTCACCTGGACCACCATCAATTGCAGATGTGGTGTCACCAGGTCCCTAGTGCAAGTGATGTGCTTGGTGTTTTACTAGGGTGGAGGACGGAGCCCAGCTCCAAGCAGTTGTATCATTGGTGTCAACAAGCAGAAATCACCTATAGCCTATGTCAGGGTGGGGAGAAGTGGAGGGACACCTGGGACTGCCAGGGCCCCCCACTGCCACCCCCCAGGAGGGTATAATCAAAACCGTCTGATAGGAGAGCATGGAAGCCATCCTCCTCTCTCTGCGGCCACATCCAGCCCTGGGTTCGCACTATTCACAGTCCTCAGGGACTACCACAAAAGGCCCAGAGATATGCCCAAATCCCTTGAATTTCAGTAGAAAAAAAGGTACCTAAATCCTTTTTAGGTAGAGAATATTACTGCTAGCCGTTTGCAGTTAAGGATGCGATTGAGATGGTTACCATGTGGGCTGTCTCCTGCCTGCACAGCCCAGGGGGGCCCCATGCCTTTGGCTCCTTTTCTGCCTCTCCTTGACCTTGTCTGTGCCCTCTCCTGAATGGTGATGTCAGGTCTCAAGAAAACCAGGGAGCTCATGGAGAAAGCACACAGCAGACAGCCACAAACACCTGCAGGGCTGAGGCTCAGCACCCTGTCTGCCACGCCATATCTCCCTCAGCTCCGAGTAGAAGTTTTTCCAGGCTCCATGTCACTGTGATATTCACAGCGCACTGAGTCAAACGGCCGAGGCAGGCGGCAGGTGGGCTGAGACATAGGCAAGCTTTCCATTTTTTGTACCACACACAAGCAGATGCTTACTTCACCAGGAAGCAATGACAGCAGGCAGGGTCTCCTGGGGCCAAACTATGACGTTGACTCCACTCCTCACAGCTCAGTCCCTCTCCCGAAGTCCCCAGGGGCAGCTCTTGTCAGCGGTGCTGCTCTGGGGCATTAGTTTTAAACTAGTATTGCCTTAAGATTTCCTTGTCTCATCTAGAAAACAGCCAGGCAATAAGAAAGAGATGTCTGGTATGATTCAGGGCATCTCCAAGTTACTGCTGGGCATCGCTGCCAGGCACACAGTATGGTTCATGCAGCACAACCTGTACGGCCAGGCAAGGACAGTGGCAGTGCATGCTCCAAGTCATCCTCATTGCATGGGAAAACACAGTAGCTCACACAAGGTGCGCTCAGCATCAACAGCTTGATTCAGCAGTCAGGGCAAGCAACAGGTTTGCCCACCACCAGGTCTCACCATGTCAACAGCCGGTACTGGCTCATGAGGCAGCGCAGATGGGAACCTGGAGCTGAATCCTTCCCCTGGCATGGGGTGGAAAGGTGCTGCCAGATTCAAGCAGGGCTTGTGGTTGCAAACACCCAGCCCTGTCTGACCCTTGGCCTTTTTGGATTGTTATTTCAGGCTGTGATGGAATAACTCTCCTCTAAGCTGGCAGGGGGAGATGACTAGGGAAACCCACACAGGGAAGCTCTGATTTTGCCCACCATATCTCTAGTTGCTAAGCCAGGGAGCTCAGCACCAACATCAGGTCTCCTCTAGCCTGGGGACAGCACTACGGGGGGCAACTGGAGCAGCATTGCCCATGCCCCTACCCAAAACAGCCCCTGTAGTACTATCCACAGGGCTGTCGCACACCGCAGTCGCAGAGCGAGGTCAACAGCACCCTCCAAATCAGCAGCTGCACAGGATAGGACTGGGGACAGCCAGCAGCTGCACCTGGGGGCCAGCTGGGATGGGACACGACGGAACAGCAGGATAGCTCACACACCTTGGCACCATGTCAGTCACCTCCTGTGCCTCAGGCCCCAAGAAATAACATCAAACCCCAGGCGTTGCTCTGCCTTGGGCATTTTTTCCAAAGCTGTTCTATGTCTAGGGCTGCCAGATTGAGTTTACCTAGGACAAGCAGGCAGAAAGCCTGCAGGGGCCAAGCCCCTGCCAACCCTACTGTCCTCAGCCTGCTGGGTCACCTCTACCCAAGGTCTGGGGATAGTAGCTGGGGACACCCATAAGGCTGATACCACCTGCCCTGCCTCATCCTGCTCCAGGGCAGAGAAAGGCTGCAGGTGGTGACATTATTTTCTCTTCCACATTAAGAGTTAAGTGCTCATAAAGCCCCCAAACATTGATATGCCACCTTTACTGCTTTATTTAGCAGGCTTTATGCACCTTGGTTGTGTCTAAGGGACACACACCTGACTATCTTCCCCAGTCATGCAAGGTGCTGTATGAATGCCAAACAAAAACACAGTCCTTTGGCCAGCAAACTGGGCAGCTCTGCAAGAGAAGGGGGGATAAAACATCCCATCCTCAGACTCCACCAACACCAAAGGTTAATTTCTTTGTCATCTTGTATCAGCAGGTACCCTAGATGTTTGCTCTCCAAGCTCCTCATTATACAGGGGCAGATACCACTGCCAAGAGCCCCACTTTGCTCACCTTCACACCCATGGTCCCAGGTAGCACCCAGTGTCTTCCACTCAGTCCAGTAACAGCTGGTACCCAGGAAGGCATCTAGTCCTAGTGTAAACAGTTTAAGGCCCTAAAAATCCCTGCTAGGGTGCAATGCCCCATACACCTGTGGGCAGGCACACACTTCCAGTCTCATCTGACTTTCACTGTCTTCTTGGGTTCCCAGCATTACCTCCATCAAGGACCATCTCAAGTGTCTTCAAGGCTCCTCCCCATTTTCCAGTCCCTCTTGCAGGACCAGTACCATAAGCTGATGTCTCCACTTCTCCTCCCAGCTCCTGCCTAGTTTTCCCACATCCACACCCCCAATTTCCTTGCTTTAAAGGCTTTCATTTGCACCCTCACCTGCCTCCTGGCCCATTCCCTCCTTCTTCTTTGCCTTCCAACTTCCTCCACCCCCCTCCCATGCCCCAATGCAGAGAGCCTGCTAAGCACCCACCATGCTCCACCCCAGACACAGCTGCAACTGGAGCAGCTAATGGCCTGTTTGGCCGGAGAAGAGTGGGGTTTGGAATGGCTAGAGGGCAGTCTGGACCATCAAGGGGTCTGTGGCCATGTGGCAGTCTTGTGAGGGGGGTCACAGAGTGAGAAGGGTGCAGGAAAAACAAGAATCTTGCTCCAGAGGTGTTGGATGAGCTTGACTCCACTGCCTTTGGGTGCTGCCCCATGTGCACAGCCTGAGCAGAGGAGATCTGAGCTGGTTTGGGAGCGGGACAGCGACTGGTGGCAGCTGGGGGCAGCAGCACCTCCCAGCCACATCCTTATCTCCACCCTTTCAGTGCAGGAGGGAAGGAAATTCCTGCTCAGCCTCATCAGCCAGGGTTTTCCTTGTACGCCCAGGCCAGAAGTGGGGGGACAGGTCCCTATCCCAAATCCCTGTGACTCACTCCATGTCCTGGTTAACTGGGAAACCTCCCCAGTCTGGGATGTGCTGGGAACCCTGCCCTGTCCCGGCTGCACCCTTCCCTGCTGCCACCAGAGAGCATCATGGGGACACCTAAAAAAGCTTTTCTCACCCTGAGCTGATCTGAAACCTTCCAAATATTGTGCCAGGCTTTGGGACGATGCTGTGGCCCTATTGCCTGGTCCTCAAGACAGGGACGACATCCCTGCAGCCAGATACGGCCCACTCCTGCTTTGGATGTAGGTGATCAACCAGCCACAGGGTACCCGGCTGCCATGGATGGAGGGACCCAGCCACCACTCTCCTGTCCATCCCCATCTGCAGTTGCAGAGCCCTGTGGGACAGCCCTGTGACTTCCCTGGAGCAGACATCACCCCAAAGCACTTCCAGAGCAGCTGGACCAGGACACGGGGTTCAGAGAACAAACAGGCTTCGATTCGTTGCCCCAGCAACCCAGGCCCTACAAGGAGACAACAGAGGAAGAGGATGCTCCATCCTCCTCCTCCTCGCGCATGCACACACCAACGCAGCACAGATGCTCCTGAGTTTTTGCAGGGCGTTCACCACGGCCGTGTGCGCCAGGCTGGGGGCTAGGCTATGGAAGAGAGCCCAAGGGGATCGGTGTACAAGGAGGAGAGATCGGGCGTCCCATGCATCTCAAGAGCTGGACACCCCCTTAAGCAGGCCCTGAGGAAGGAGGAAGACACCCCCAGCAAGCAGCGAACAGATGGACAGACCATCCCCACATCCTACTCCATGACAGAGCCGATGCATGGAGGCATCCAAGCCTTTTTGCAGGC